ATGAGGATCGAGGGGGCGATGATGAGGTATGTCCCAGGCGACCGCAGAGTTTTGGGGCGGCCCTACGACGGCTCCATGTGAATCTGGGTCATGCAACGACTGCGACGATGTTACGACACCTACGACATGCGAATGCGAGTCCCGAGGCGTTACGACAGGCAGCGAATTTCCATTGCGACGACTGTGCATCACGCCGACAGCCCGGTATCGCGAGGTACAGCGCCCCTCCCACACTTCAGCCTCCGTTGAAATCGGTGGCGATGGATGTGAAGGAACTGCCCTACTACGCTGAAGGTCGGAGAGACGGAGTCGTCCAAAGTTTTTCTTCGCACGTACCGGGACAACTGGACCCGACCGTACATGAGGCCCAAGTGGCTGAAGGTAGATGCCGCTAGTGCACATGTGTCGGAAGATTTTCAAGATGCCATGGACCGGGATGGGACAATTCTGGTGGATACTGCAGGTATGGCAAAGGAGCAGAACGGGAAAGTGGAGGTACACGGTAAGTGGTTTGAACAGTGGTTGCAGGTGATGATTGATGAAATTCAGCCCCAGGATGAAGGCGAATGGTTGGAATGTGTAGCGCAGCTCCAGGAGGCCAAGAACTCGGCGTTGAGTGTGGAAGGCGTTTCCCCGTGTCAGATTGCTTTCGGCAGGAACCCGGAGGCCCCAGAAGATTTACTTCAAGAGAACCCTAACCTGGTTGCCAACAGCTGTGTGTTGCACGATTCTGTGGCAGCGAGGGCTGCCAGTATTCGTGCCATGGCCCGACGGGTGATATTGGCGCACAACGAGAAGAAGGCAGCTCGTGTTGCCCTCGACTGCCGTCCGCGGGTGCATCGCGTTTTTCAGGCTGGAGATATGGTAGCTGTGTGGCGCAAGGTCAAGGGTGCAATAGCCGGAAAGACGTCATCGTACAGGTGGCGACCAGGAATATGCGTTGGGCCTGTCAGGGGAAATTACTGGGTTGCTCTTCCTGGAAGCCTTGTGAAAGCGCCCACGGAACAGATGAGGGAGGCTACGAGGGAGGAACGTACGGCATGGAGGTTGGTGGAGGCTGAATTACGGACGACGACGGTTGACCTGGATAATTTGTCTGGGAGATATTTTGACGACATCACGAAGGGCCCCAAGCCTCCAGAAGGCCCCCCAGAAGCAGAGGTAGATGATTCGAGTTGGGCGGTTCCAGGTCCAGGAGATGGGATCCCGACTCCGGCACCTTCGATGCCGATCGACCCGACACCGCCACCAACACCGCCGCCAAACGCATCATCGGCCGAACCAATTCCAGGAGCCCCCTCGTCCAGGTTCCCGTGCCCCGACTCCAGATGGTCCTCGTTCCCATATGCTGTGCCGACGGGGAGTCCTGACCATCCGACGGGGTCCCGACGGGTACCTTTCGGATCGAAGACGGGCCCAAAGAAGGAAGAGCTGACTAGGAGCGCCGATGAACCAGCTGACCCTCAGCCGCACAAGCAGCCCCGCCTAGAAGAGCCTCCAGGACTGTCCGACTCCAGCTCTTTACCACCTGATCCATCTCAGTCTTCCAACCCCGAGGCGGATCCAACGCCTATGTTCGACTGTGGAGCGGTCACGTGTGACGGGGACGAAGAGGCCCCGATCTTGGCAGTAACGGACACTGACGTGCTACTTGCCAGAGGGAGGAAGGAGGAGCGTGAGAAGGATTCAAGGTGGCAGACTGAGGAGGGACGACGTCAGGTGGAGGAGGCATATCAGAAGGAATTCCAGAAATTGATCGTCGATCAAAAGGCATGGAAAGCTCGTTCGGTGGAGGAGTCTCGTCGTCTTCTCCTGGAGGTCCCGGACCGCATTTTGCCATCACGCCCAGTGCTGACCCTCAAAACGGAGGATGACGGGAGCACGGAATTGCGATGCAGGCTGACGGTGCAAGGTTTTAAGGATCCAGATGTGCTGGAGATGGTCCGAGCTGGCAAGACCCAGAGCCCGACTCTCTCAGCAACAGGGAAGGCATTCCTTTTTTTTTTTCTTTTTCTGTCTTTTTTTACCTACTTTTTTGTTTTTCTATTGTTTTTCTTTTTTTCTATCTACTCGTAGTCTTTTTTTTTTTTTTTTTATTTTTCCTTTTTTTCTTTTTTTTTATTATCTTGCTACTTATTTATTTTTCTTTTTAGTATTTTTATTTTTTATTTTCGTTTTATTTCATACTTATTTATTTTTTTCTTTTTTGGGTTTTTTTTTTTTTTTTTTATTATTTTTTCATTAGTTAATTAATTTTTTATTATACACATTTTTTTTTACTGTCCTACAGCTGGTGGCTTCGACTCGTTTTCAGCTGGTTCTGGGAGACATCCGAGGAGCGTTTCTGGAAGCTGATCCTGAGGAGAGGCCCAATGGGCCGATATTCGTGAAAGCACCCAGGGAGCACACACCAAAGGGCCATCACCCGGACCAGCTGTACGAACTTGTGAACGGCTACGGCGGTGTGGACCAGCCGCAGCGGTGGTTCTCGACTTCTAAGCGGTATGCTGAGGAGATCGGCGTCGTGGCCCATCCTATTGATCCGTGTCTGTTTATTATGTTTGAGCCGGTGCGGGCTGGACAGCCAGTCCCCTCGACACCTCAGTGTGTGCCGATTGGATCTGCTCGAGGACATCCAGGTGCCTTGCGTGGGCTGATGGGGATACATGTGGACGACACGGTAGGAGGAGGGCGAGGTGACAGGTGGGAGAGTGCCATGGATAAACTCAAACGGCGGTTTCCCTGGAGGAAATGGAGGATTGGGTCTGGTGAGTTTACGGGGTCTTGGTTACAACAATTTCCGGACGGAACTATCATACAGTCACAAAAGGCCTATGCTGAAACGATGAAACCAGTCAAGATGAAACGATGTGCCGAGAATGAAAGCAAGGCGTTGCCCAAGGAAAAGTCTGCGCTGACCTCGATGAACCAGGCTGGCAACTGGCTGGCAGGTCAGACTAGGCCTGATCTTTCTTGCCAGGTGAGCAAGAACCAGCAGCTGTTGCCGAATCCGACGGTGAAGGAGATAAAAGATGCCAGCATGCTCGTGCGCCGTGCTCGTCAACATAAGGACCTTACGATACGATATTTTGCGATCCCACTTGAGGACCTCAGGATGATGACCCATACCGACTTTGCCAGGGGTGAAAACGATGGTCTCAAGAAGACCCAAGGAGGATATGTGCTGAGTGTGACGACACCGGGTATGCAACGAGGGGAGGTATCACCATGGAATCCTCTGATATGGCGGAGTTACCGACTCAAGCGGGCAATACGATCGTCTCTGGGTGGAGAGGCCTCTGCACTGGCCGACGGTCTGGGGCATCTGGAATGGGTAATGTGTTTCTTTGCGGGGTGTATGTTTCCACAGTTCACTCTGGAGACGAGGTATGAGTTCTTGAAACTTTTCGAGGCTGTTGCGATTATAGATGCAAAATCGGCTTATGACCATATCAATAAGATAGGTTCCCCAGGGGCTCTTGAGGACCGACGATGTGCTGTGGAGCTCATGATTGCCCGACAAGCCCTTCAGAGATTTGGAGGGACCTTGAGGTGGGGTCCCACGTCCTTGATGGTAGCCGACGCCCTCACCAAGGAAAAGGCCGAGGCCCACGACCTACTGAGAGCATGCGTCCGATCTGGAGTGTATCAGCTTGCGGACGAATCAAGTACTCTACAAGAAGCAGCAGCAGAGAGAGAGCGTCGCCGACTCCGCAGAGAGGTCTCATCAAGCGACCGACTGCCGACTCCCACGCCCTCGGTCGCCTGTGCAGTGGTGGCTCAAATTGTAGGCTTTACAGCTCGCGGGGAACCCCACGCGGTGCGAAGCTTCCTCCAGAGTCTCACGGATGCAGAAACCAGCTACCCGAACATCGTCGGTTGCGTAGCGGCCGAGCGTAAGATGACAGTGAAGGTGCCCGCTGGAGTCCTAGACACGGGCCTGAAGGCGAGTCGACATATGAGAGTGACCCTGATATACCATAACAACACGAACTACGTCCAGGTGCTCACCGGAGCTGCCATCGAGGACTCGATGATCCGCCAGGTGAGCGAGTTGGAGAGGAGCTATTTCGAGGCTGCGGTCCACAACCCGTCCTGCAAGATGGAGATGCCGAATGGGAGCGAGCACCTGACTAAGGTCATGCGTTTTCCCCCGTACGAGGACGAGGGTAAGGGCACAGAGGCGGGCAGTTCAATCAAGAAGGAAGAGCCGAGGGAGGATGCCGGATTCATCAAGGTCGAGATGCCAGACCTATTGAAGGAGGACCCGGCGTACCAGGAGGCGCTCTCGACCACAGCGATGGCGGTCATCGAGCGGATGTCCAACTATCCCGATCAGCGTGATGCCCTGCTGCGAGTGATGAAGACCAGTTTCGGACTCGAGATGACGGCCTTGGAGGCGGAACGCCAGGACTCCTACGACCGTGAGCAGAAGGCGTACGCGCGGCGCGCACGCCCGACCACCTCCGGCTGAGGAGGCCGCCAGAGCCCGGCAGGCAGTCTCACGAGACGTGCGAGAGGCCGAGGCAATACAGGCAACAAGAATTTGTAGTGCGTGTGAATCGCAGTGCTGTTTCTTGCCTGTTGCTGCCTCGGCCCGTCCATAGACCAATCTGGTTCGAGCTTGCGAGATTGTGCGCGGGGCCGTGCAATAGATAAACGAGCAGGCTCCAGGGGAAGATCGGTCAGGAGAATTGCTAGAGGGAGAAGTACTAGGACGTACTTGTGATTTTGAACGATTCTGAGGTTTAGAATCTGCAGGAGGAAGAGGAGGAGAGGAGGAGAGGAGGAGGAGGAGGAGGAGGCGGAGGAGGAGGAGGAGGCGGAGGAGAAGGAGGAGTCGGAGGAGGAGGCGGAGGAGAAGGAGGAGAAGGAGGAGGAGGAGGCGGAGGAGGAGGAGGAGGCGGAGGAGAAGGAGGAAGCGGAGGATGAGGAGGCGGAGGAAAAGGAGGAGGAGGAGGAGGAGGAACCCCACCCCCACCCCTGCGCGCCTCGGCCAGCGCTACGGCGGCGCCTGCGCCGTGTTCTCCGCCGCCGCGAGCGCCGCGGTCGCCGCCCGGCGGCCCAGGCTCGCGGCGTGCGCGCCGGGCAGGCCGAAGGCGCCCGCGCGCCCGCGGGCAGGCCCCCCCGGAAGCCGGGAGGGGGAAATAGACACAAGCACAGACAAGAGTCGATGCTCCTTAGAGAATATATTCGGAAACTGGAACATATACAGTCGGGGCCTTGAAGAAGGAACGCTTTTCGTTGGGGAGGGGCTCGGTGTTCCTTGATTGTTTTACAGTTTGCCTCGGGTTTCCTTTAGGTCTTTGCATGGGAAATCGAAGTTCAACTTATGGAAAAGAGGGGCCTTGTTCCTCATTTAGGGTTCCTTAAGTCAACGCCCCGTCTGTACATTACCAGTGGCGGGCTGTTTTACGATCCCACGACTTTTTTGAGGGTCAGGGACGACGTCGGGGTGGTGTGGTGTATACTCCCCCCGTTTTCCAAGGGAAGCAAGGGAACATGTATACACCAGGATCCCGTATACACCAGAATCCGCGTTCCTGTGCGAATTTCAGCGCAGGGTCGGGAAAAGCGTCGGTGTATAGAGTTCGCTTCCCTAGAAATATGGAAAATGGATGGAAGAGATTGGGACCCCACACGCACACACACGGAACATATAAGGCACACCTGATCGTTTTCTTATTCATTGGTTTGCCGATCTGCGCCGGCCCTCGCATCCACCCCCTCCCCGGCCCTCCCCCTTCGTGGAGTAGATCCTGGCTGTTTTTTGGCGCCTGCTTCGAGCAGGTGGAGTCTCCCCCAGAGGACGCACTGTTGCAAACAGTCGCAGTAAGCAGAGGTCTGGAGCCAGACCCCCCCCTCCCCCCCTGTCCCCCCAATGTCGACACGCCGAATAAGAGAACGCTCCCGATTGTGATATATGGGAAGCGGATGAGGAATATCGTGAAACCCCAAACATAAGGAGCATGTTCCTCCTCCTCCTCCTCCTCCTCCTCCTCCTCCTCCTCCTCCTCCTAGAAGGCACACGGGGAGTCGTCTCTCTGTACTTGCGTGCGTCCCCCCTTCGGAAAGCGAAAAAGCGCCGCGCGCGGCTTGCCGCTCGGCGGCGCGGCGCCACGAGCCCCACCCCCTGCGCGTCGTGGACGGGGGCGGAGGAGGACGAGGAGGAGGAGGAGGAGGAGGAGGAGGAGGAGGAGGCGGAGGAGGAGGAGGAGGAGGAGGAGGGGGAGGAGGAGGAGGAGGAGGAGGAGAGAGGAGGAGGATTAGGAGGAGGAGGAGGAGGAGGAGGAGGAGGAGGGGGAGGGGGAGGGGGAGGGGGATGGGAGGGAAGGAGCTAGGGATGGAGGGGGGCGGGGGGGTTGGACGCGTTCGGCCTCTGGGCGCCCTCGCCGGGCCGCGGGGCCGCGGAAGAGCGGCTCCCCGGTGGACCCGCAGTTCACGGGCGAGGTATAGCACGAGAGAGGTTGCGCCGTCGGGGGGGCGCCCGTCCCAGGGCGGTCGGAAAGTTTCTACCCCCCGCAGGGTGCCACGAAGGGGTATGAACTCGCCAGCCTCCCAGGGGCAGGCGCCCCCGACGGCGGAAAAGTTGATTTAGTACCGCTTGTCGCCCGCCGATCAAAGGGGGTCCAGCGACGAGGGGGTGGTGCCATAAGTAGATCTGGCGCTGTAGAGCTGCGGGGTTGCAATCGATTGGAGGCGTGCAATGCACTCCGGTGCACAGATGCGTCGCTGGGCTTTCGCGTGCAATGCATCTGCTGCGACGTGCTGCAGCACAATTCTCTGGCGCAGCACATTTGCAATACAAGTGTCCCGAACCTATTGCACCACACCCTTTCAGCGGGATTCCCTTCTGGGTCAACCAAAGGCTCGCAGGATTCAGAGCCGGTCGTGCGAAATGGGTGGAGACTTCTGCTTGGATCGGCGTGGGGGGTACTAATGGGGGTTATGGAGGATTATCCGTGGATGCGAGGATGGGTTGTATCTGGCTCGACCGAGCCCACAAGTTGGCCATACAAACCCCAAGTGGCCCAGGAGGGTTAGCGATCCCGGCCCTGTGGGCTCCGCCCCTTTCATTGGCAGAGACGTCCAACCCCCAAGCCAGCTGCGGCCTCTGCAGCCTACTTTTAAGCTGGGCCATAGGCCAGACCAGAGGGACTAGACGTTGCGAACACATTCATGACGTCGGGGATTTGGGAGGTAAGGTTCAGTCGGGCCTGTCCCTCTACAGGGGGAATATTCGAAAACAGTCCCAAAAATAGTCTGGGGACGATTTGTTCTGTATCATTTTCCGACCACTTTGGAGTTTTTTGTTGATTTTTGATTTTTCGTCCAAAATCCCCCTGCAGGGGGACAGACCCGGCTCAGAGGGAAGGCTCCCGGCCCCTCCCTGCGCCTCTCGGGGGTGGGCGCCACGGCCCGGCCGCGGCTCGGCGCGCTGGCCGGCGTGGCGCCCTGCAGCGGTCTGGGGCAGGCGGTGGCCTTTGGAAGCGGCAGGGCCAGTCTTGCTACCCTCCGGAAGCTCCTCCTCCTCACTCCTCCCCCTCCTCCTCCTCCTCCCCCCCCTCCTCCCCCTTCTCCTCCTCCTCCTCCCCCTCCTCCTCCTCCTCCTCCTCCTCCTCCTCCTCCAGAAGGCCGCGGAGGTCACGGATGACTTGGCGCTCAAGTCGGCCTTGGCGGTGCAGAAGGAGCGGCTCCAGCTCAAAGCGCAGCAGGAGGGGCAGGCAGCAGTGTCGGAGGCGGAGACGGTGCGCAAGGCCGACGGGGCCTGGCGTGCGGCGTCTCACCGCCATGAGCAGACGGTGACACAAGTCCTCCGCCTTCGCAAGCAATTGCAAGTGGCGGAGGGCAAGGAGCAGAAGGCCGCAGAGGACCTGGCTCGCGCGGAGATCGACAAGAAGCGCGCGGCTGAGGCCTTGGCGAAGGCGGAGGGCGTCGCGGCCACGCAGGCAGCCAGCGCTGCAGGTGGGCAGCCCGCGTTCGAGCTCCGCATCAACGCGGCCATCTTTGAGCAGTTCGAGAGTTGGGATTGCGAAGAAGCCGACAAAGTTCAGCTACGAGCGTTGAAGACATAATTGGATTCATACAAATCCGCCTTCGAGTCCAAGGACGCCCAGGTGCGTGCCTTTATCGAGAAGGTGGACACCTTCGAGAAGGAGGTGAGGGAGCGCATGACGAAGAAGAAGCGCAAGGCCGAGGAGCCTGCCGCCGAGGTCGCAGCTGAGGAGGGCGAGGGCAAGCCTCCCGCAGCGGCCACGGAGGCTTCCGCGGGCGGGGCCGTGCCAGGCACGGCACCTCCTGGCCCTGCCGTCTCCTCTGCGGCAGCGGCTTCAGGAGCGCCCGCGGAGGCCGCGGCGGCTGGGCCCACTGATGAGCAGGTGAAGCAGGCGGCCGCTGCGATCTCCAAGGCCAGGTTCGATGCAGCGAAGGCGGTCGAGCAGGGCAAGGGTGGAGTCGGCAGAGGCAGCGGCGACAACGTGAAGGTTCCCGACGGCGACGAGAACCTATGACAGGGGGCTGCTGCAGCCTCCAGCGTGCAGGCGTCCACGGCGACGCCAACGGGGGTCAGCAGCAGTCCTTCAGGCACTGGTGCGTCAACATCGGGGACCTGCAGTACGGGGAGTACTGCATCATCGCCAGCTCCGTCATCATCGGCGAAGCTCTTTTTCGGGAACGTGACATGCATAGGGGACAAGAGTTGGGAGTATCTCTGTCAGGCGGCACAGTCACATGATTATGTTTCAGCGTGCGAGACTCATGTGCATCAGCGAGACCTCGGCAAGTGGATGGCCAAGGCCCGCACGCACAAGTACAAGCTTCTAGCCAACAGCGCGAGGAGTAAGAGCAGATGGAAGCAGGCACACCCAGGTCAGGAAGCCCGTGCGAATGAAGGAGGAGAGTGGATGCTGGTTCGTAACCATCGCCCCGCTCAAGTTCTGGACGCTGCTCGGAATTCCCCTGCACTACGTCATGATCGTTGTGCAGCGTTCGACGGGTTCTTGCCTGTACTACTGCATATGCGTGGATTTTCCTTAGTTGTGTGTATCATGTACGGTCACTCGGGAATCGGCTTCACAGGAGACAATGTAGCTCGTTTCAGAAGAATCGGCAGTTTGTTAGCATCACTGCAATTACCGTGGATCACAATAGGTGATTGGAACATGTCGCCAGGGCAGTTGTGTGCAACGGGCTTCGTGGAAAAAGTGAGCGGCATCATTGTCAAGTCTGAGGCTGAGTTTACCTGCACGCCAGGTGAAAACCGACCGTCCCATTTAGACTTTGCTGTTTGTTCTGAGGCTGCGAGGCCTTATATCCTGGGGCTCAGGGCCGTCCTGGACGTTCCTTGGAAACCCCACATCGGCCTCAGTCTCGAGTTAGTTTCAGAAGGTAGCCAATTGTACACTAGGTTTTTGGATTTACCACCCCAGCTCCCACTGGTGCCCCGCCCTGCTCGGCAGCCCGTGGAGGGCTCGAAGTCGAGCCGAGCCAAGGTGGAACGTAGACTTGCACAGCAGTTGGCTAAGCAGAAGCGTCATGAACGAATTCGCGAGTGGTTTCCCATCGAGAGTGTAGGAGAATCTTTAGGTGAGGGAGGAGAGGTCGGTCCGCAGGTTCCCCTTAGCGACGCTGAGACAGGTCTTGGCGATTTGCTGGACACCAGCCTTGACGACTCGGATGTCGAGGAGGACCCGTGGGCCTACGAGCCCAGTTTTGGACCTGCCCCCACCCCGCCTGCTGCCTCTCTCTCGTCGAGTGGAGACCCTCAGGTAATGAGTAATTCGGCCCGGCGTGAAAACCCCCCAGGTGGTAGCCCCGAGCAACAGTCTCACTGTAAGTCTCAAGAGCCATCGCCCGAACGGTCAGAGGGGAATTTAAAGCCAAGCGTCGAATTCAAAATAGCCGAGGCCACATGGAGCGATGAAAGGAAAAACGTCGGCTTCATATCGTCGGGTACTTACCCGCCTGCACCTGCTGTTGCTCGCTCCGTAGCACATTCCCTTGGCTCCAACCATTGTGATAGCATCGGCAGTCTTTTCAGTGCGTGGGTACGCACGGTGGAGGCCAGTTTCGCCTCGCACCACGGCCAGGCCAATCTTGG